CAGTCTATCATTTCACAGAGACTTGAAAAATAATTACTTGAAATGCCACCATTATTGGCGCCTTTGTGGATGAAATTAAATCTGTTGGTATTTCATAGATAGTTAAAAAATAATTACTTGAAATGTCATAATTACCGATGACTTTACGGATGGAATGCCATCCGTCGACATTTCACAAAGAGTTGAAAAATAATTACTGCAAATACCACAATCACTAACGAATTGGCAGACAAATTCTAGTCCGTTAGTATGTTGTCGGTGAGTCAATATTACCGATAAAATCATCAATGGACTGTGCGAATTTCGAAAGGTGGTGCATTAAATGCATCTCTGATCGCATCAAGTTGTCGATGAAATTATTGACGGACTGCGAAAAATATAGAGGGTAATTAAAAAGATGGTGCAAAATTCAAAATTTACTGATGGATTTTCAAAACTTTACCAATGGAATAATTTAAAATAATATTTTTTTATTTTTATTGGTGAAGCAGTCAGTAAAATTGCATTATAAATCCTAGTAACCGCCTCTTCAGTTCTTTTTTTCATCTGCTCTGTTACTCCCGTATAAGTTTTGATTTTTTTTCCTCTCATTTGCTTAAATATTTTTATTTGTTTTCCTTATAATCTCTAGTTGAATCTTCATCAAATTAAAAGGTATGTGTTTCCTCTATTTCATTTTACTTTAAGAATTTTTTTCTTTATTTTAGCTATTTTCATTTTTGTTATGTTTTTTGTTTTGATGTATTTTTGTAATGTAGATAAAGTTTTGAAATAAACACATTATTAAGGTCAGCATACTTCATTCATAAAGTCTATATTTTTTTTAATATATTTTATTGTTGTATTGCCATAATAATTGAATAATTTGTTGAATTGTAGTTGTTAATGTTGAATTTATCTTAGAATTAGTAATTTAATATGTTGGAATATTTAGTAATTTTACTTTATTATTGCATGATTTTTTTTTTTGAATTTATTGAATATATTTTATTTTGGTATTGTAATAATAATTGAATAATTTATTGAATTGTAGTTATTAATGTTGAATTTACCTTAGAATTAGTAAATAAATATGTTGGAATAATTAGTAATTTTACTTTATTATTGCATGATTTGTATTTAATTATTTCCATTAATTTTAATTGTTAGTCTAGAGTTTTTTGAATTTTTTGAATATATTTTATTGTTGTATTGCAAGATGTTATGTTATATATAATATTAGTATAGATGGGGTCAATTGGTTGTGGCTATTATCAATATTTGCAATTTTATAGATTTGAGTAGTCTTTAATATAGGGTAGGTGCTGTCAAAATTTTTTATCATTCGAATTTAATTATATAATTATTCATATAAAATTATGTAAATACATAGAACGAAATCTACAACTCGTTGGTCACATATGGACTAGCTAGTTCTTTGAGCACCGAGGATGACATATGCTTAGGTGTCTCTCAAGAAAAGGCGTCTACATTGTCAACCAATGCTACCTCTTCCAGTACGGTTTCACAGCACAAAAATGGTGTGCCTTCGCACTGTAATTAATTCACCTGCAAGTAAGAGGCACAATGGAAGGACAATCTTTCAATGTAAGTTTGTTAATGTTTTAGTTTTGTTTTTAATAAAAAATTATAACATAATTTATAAACAACTAATCAATATTTTATTAATTTAATTTATTTTCAGGTTCACAAACATTGAGGCTGCCCGAGTGATATCATTGATATTTAAATCGTCGATGGAGATTCCATTATTTCAATGAAGTCAGGTATCTAGACATTCTAAATGGATACCTCAAATTGATGCATTGTTTGACAGATTTGAGGTTGATGTTAATTTCTAATTTCCAGCTTATTTCTAATAAATTATTAATATAATTTTAAATAAATTATTATTTTTGTTTAAATTTAATTATTTATATACAGGACAAATTCAACTAGGACAATGTGTAAGACACTTTTGTGAGGAGGGTGTGGAAAAATCACATGGCAACTAGGTAACATTGAAAATAATACAATAATTTTTTTTAGAAAAATATTTATGTTTCAAAATTTAATTTGTCACTATGGAAGTAGGTTGTGTGATTTTTGGTATGAAGTACAAAAAAAGGCAAAAGAAACCCATAAGAGATAAGGGTCTCCAAGGCTGGAATGACGTGGTGAATTGTAGAGATTTCAAACTAATACACATCCTGATAGATATATGACCGCACTATCTTGAGTACGTGATGTCTGAGCAGTTCACACGACGTTTATAGTCTGGCGCTAGCAACTAGAATCGACCAACATGGCTCGGTGACAACGCACATCAGCGACTCTGTTTTGTTTGCTGCACATACAAAATAGATGGTAAGATTAATTTAAATGAAATATATTTAATTAATTTTTTGTATTATAGGCTACGTCTCTTAGATGTGAGTCGAGCCCTATAGAGCTTTTTGTTGAGACGTACGTGCGGAGTTAAGACCGCTAAAAGGAGATGCAACAGTTCATTGACAACCGTACTTAACACTTTATGGAATGTTTGTTCAACCATTTTATTTTATAAGTTGTTATTTTTATTAAATTGAATATAATGATTATTTTTTTAATTTTTAGGAGACTTATAATAGCCCGCTGAGGGAGAGATATAAGGATGATCCTTCGATCCATCCGGATTTCGATTTAGATTTGTGGATGGAGGTTGGATCGGCTGGTGGACTTGATAAAAATTAGGTGTACAAGCTCTCCAACACTACGCCTGAGAACTTGCGGGTTGCCTATAGTGTCTCAACCGTTGGAAGCTCCCAATCAGTATCCAGCACTTCAACTAAAGAGTTTGTGGTCTTGTAGTAATGCACAACTTAGCTCTTCGAAAAATACGACCACCTATTAGCGGAGTATATACAACTCAAAGTGGATCATGAACGACTTTGCCAAATAGTTATGAACATGACGTTACAGAGTGGTGATACATGTGTAGCTCCTCCTTTTTGGCCATATAACAACTAGCCTCCTCCTCCTCCTCCTCCTCCTCCACCATTATATTAATTTGTAATGAATATATTTAACTCTAATAGTTAATTTAAATTTTTTTTGAAACATATTCAATTTGAAATGAATATTATTTAACTTTATTTTTTTTATTTTTGATGTTTAATAAAAATTTATTTGCATAATTTGTTTTTTTACTATTAATTTATATAATATTATGCATTCTAAATCATTTTTTAAAACATATTTAAAAATAATCCCAGAAGGTTTTACCGACGGACTGTATTCGTCGGTATTTATCAATCATACCGATGAATTTACTAATGAAATGAGTCTGTCAGTATTTTACAGTAGCTGCCACAATCACCTATGAATATATAAATGAATATATTCAGTCGGAATTTCACACACACTCACTGACAACGTTACTGATGGCCTATTCCATTGGTATTACACATAATCATCGACGGAATGCATCCGTCGATATATTTCAAGCAGAATTTTTTTTTTTACCTCGCAATTTCCATCTATAAAACCATCGATGAATGTTTTTAGTGACCGAATAAGGTATTACCGATGAAAGTAAAGCTGATGGACATTTTCCATCAAGGATGTCATCGATAAAAAAAATTACCAACAAACACTGAATCACAGACTGACAAAATAGTTTTATTGGTAAAACTGTAAAATCTTGTAGTGAAAAAAGCTTAGCCTGCACTCTTGAGGATTTTTTTTAATTAAACTGGGCAAACCACATATCATCTGCAACCTAGAATTCGGCTAAAATAAAGATTGTTGGAAAATCGAGGATGATGGTTTTGAAGCCAAAAATTCATTTTCAACCATTTTGACTTGAAAACACACATTTCAAGTAAGGTGAAGACTATGAAGTACCTCAATGAAATTTCTCTTATTGTATAGTACTTGCTGATATCAAAATTAATATTTTTCATGGTTGAAATCAGGCTACCCAACATTTTCTCTCTCCTTTCACCTTTGTGGTCACCTCCTCTCCACTCTCTATAACTTACACATTGAAATGCAAAGGAGTTAAAGTACTAGACAAAAATGTAAAAATCTCATTAAACATGGATTAAAAATGATACAAATCTTTAAGAATTAAGAAAGCTACAATATTTTTTAATCTTGCATAGTGAAAAAAAAAAGAAAGGAAAAATACAAAACTCAATTTGGGCAAAGCATGGAATCTGATTAATATTACTATGACCCAGGATCATTTGCGAGATACAATTTATGTACAATTTGGGTAAAGCATGTCAATTTTTTTTTTTTATCATTCGAATTTAATTATATAATTATTTATATAAAATTGTGTAGATACATAGAACGGAATCTACAGCTCATTGCTCATATATGGACCAACTAGTTCTTCTAGTAGCAAGGATGACATATCCATAGGTGCCTCTAAAAAATAGGCACCTGCGTCGTCAAACGATGTTGTCTCTTCTAGCGTGGTTTCATAGCGCACAGGCGGTGTGCTTTCACACTGGAATTAATTAACCTACAAGTAAGAGGCACAATGGAAGGATGATCTTTCAATGTAAGTTTGTTAATGTTTTAGTTTTTTTTAAATAAAAATTATAACATAATTTATGAACAACTAATCAATATTTTATTAATTTAATTTATTTTCAGGTTCATAAATATTGAGGCCGCCCGAGTAATATCATCGATGTTTAAATCATCGATGGAGATTCTATTATTTCAATAGAGTTAGGTATCTAAATATCCTCAATGGATACCTCAAATTGATGAATGGTTTGACAAATTTGAGGTTAATGTTAATTTCTAATTTCCAACTTATTTCTAATAAATTATTAATATAATTGTAAATAAATTATTATTTTTATTTAAATTTAATTATTTATACACAGGATAAATTCAACTAGGACAGCATGCAAGACACTTTTATCAGGAGGGTGTGAGAAAATCACGCGACAACTAGGTAGCATCGAAAATAATACAATAATTTTTTTACAAAAACATTTATGTTTCAAAATCTAGTTTCTCACTATGGAAGTAGGTTGTGTGATTTTTGGTATGAAGTACAAAAAAAAGCAAAAAAAAAAAAAACGCAAGAGATAAGGGTCTCCAAAGCTGAAACGACATGGCGGATTGGAGGGATTTCAAACCGATATACATCTTGATAGATATATGACCATACTATCTTGAGCATGTGACGTTTGAGCAGTTCACACGACATTCATAATCTGGTGCTAGTAACCAAAATCGGTCACTTCATGGCTCGGTGACAATGCACATCAGCGGTTCTATTCTATTTGCTGCGCATGCAAAACAAGTAGTAAGATTAATTTAAATAAAATATATCGTTAAATTAATTTATTATTAATTAATTTTTTTTATTATAGGCTACATCTTTTGGATGTGAACCGAGCCCCACAGAGCTATTTGTTAAGACGTACATGCGGAGTCAAGACCGCCAAAAGGAGGTGCAACAATTCATTGACAACCATACTCAACACTTTGTGGTGTTTTGTTCAACCATTTTATTTTGTAAGTTGTTATTTTTATTGAATTGCATATAATGATTACTTTTTTAATTTTCAGGAGACCTATAATAGCCTATTGAGGGAGAGATATGAGGATGATCCTTCGACCCATCCGGATTTTGATTTAGATTTGTGGATGGAGGTTGGATCGTCCGATAGACTTGATAAAAATTAGGTGTATGATTAGTACTTAAAAGTGCATTTTTATCATGGTTTTATATCATCATTTTGCACTTGAAGTATCAATAACTCCTTAACTAAAGCATGTTTTATAATAATATACCTCACAATATAAGATACCTTTAATTTGTAGTAAATATTGATTTTAAATGCAGGCCTATCACATAAATGAAAGGTTTGATTGATGACTTTAAAAACATAAATTGCAAGGGAAAAAAAGATGACCAAACTTAGAAAAGAGATATCGGTGCAATCCAAACTGGAACACTGTTCGGTAATTGGGTCATATCTGGAGCTATAGATCTCAGATTTAGGTCTAATTTATATGGATGGAAAGGTAAGATATAGGCCTACAACTTTTATATGGAGCCCAAGATCTAAAAAGGCTATTTTCAAGTCCAAATTGTAGCAACAACAAAGAAGCCTGATTCTGTCCTCCAGCCCGAGCACTGTTCAGTAGTTTGGCCATATCTAGAGTTCTAAAAGTCCAAATAAGCTGAATGTTTTACACAAGAAAGCTGAGACAATTTCCTACAACTTTCATGTTTTCAAGTGGCTCCAATTCTAACGTTATCAATGACGTTTTGGGCAGACAAGAGAAGATAAGGATTGTCACCAAGTCAAACATTGGCCACCCACTCATCAATTAGTCATCAAATCAATAGTTCCCAATTTTGGCCTATAAAAGGAGGCATTTGTCATGCATTTAGGCATCTTGGTCTCCAGATCAAGATCATGCTTTTGCTTTCTCTCTTTGTATTTTTTATGCTTTGCTTTCATTAATATCTAGTTCATGCCTTTCATTTCCTTTCCTTTACTTAGTTAACTTTTATCTTATTTATGTTCTTATTTTGTTTATCTATTTTTCTTTTTTTCATTATGTCTAGCTAAGTTTATTATGTCAAGGTGAAAAGGTTACACTAATGGTGTAAGAATAAGTATAGTGTAAACTCAATATGGACTTTAATGTTTGATACTAACATGTTTTGTATTTGTTATCTTGTTCACTCTTTAATACTTTGCTTGTTAAATGACTAATCTTGATTTATGTTGTATAACACTTGGTACAACAAATGCTTGGCACTTTCATAGCCCATACTGTATGGTATAATCGACACCTGAGCTATGAAAGGAACTTGATTTGTTGTTAACATAAGTTATAATCATGAATGCTTGACGAGATTTACAAGTATTAGCATTAATCGAATAAGATGACTAATGTAATCATGTTAACAATCTATAATCTGATTGGAACCTCCTTTGTGTGTGGTTTCCAATTGAATAATAAGAGTTTATACTATACTTGTTTGACATACCATTAGTGGAAACTGTAACCTTGACATTTGTTATTATCATTGTTTAATCCTTACATTAATATTCCATCTCAAAGTTCTCATCTTTTTCTTCCTCTTCTCCTTCTTTTTCTTTATTATTATTATTATTACTACTACTACTACTACTACTATTATTGTTGTTGTTGTTGTTGTTACTATTGTTGTTGTTTATAATTGTTATTTATAATTGTTATTTATAATTTGTACAATTAACCTCCCTGTGGTTCGACCCCGGTCTTGCCGGGTTATTTATTACTTCGACACTCCTGCACTTGGGAGAAGACATTAATCTTTCAGTCGT